GCTAACAAAATTCTTATTTAAATATTCAGAAGCCCACAATGAATGAGCAAAAGTTGAGAAAGGGACATTAAGAGCCACGGTGGACGCAGTGTTAGAATGCAGTACTGCAGGCTACTTCTGACTGCCAGATTCAAATTTGCAGTTTGAATCTCATCAGGCTCAAGGTTGACTCAGCCTTCCATCCTTCTGAGGTTGGTAAAATGAGGACCCAGGTTGTTGGGGGCAATATGCTGACTCTGTAAACCAGTTAGAGAGGGCTCTAAAGCACTGTGAAGTGGTATATAAATCTAAGTGCTAAATGCTATTGACTAGCAGGTGACACATCTAGAAGGTGATAGTTTTTATATTAAGACAAATATTCATACCTTTCTACTCCCCACCTGCTCTGCACCAAAACCTGCAGGTATAACATGACTGCATTTCGGAAATAAAATCAGCCAAAGCAAGCATCCTGCTGTTTGTTTTGTCTTGCTGAGGTATATTTAGCTGCTAACTCTGAATAATCATAGAATATAGAATAGCACAGAAAACAGACTTCCTAGCTCTAGTTCTCCATCAGAGCAATGCCCTGCTTTCAACAACAGTCCCTTTCTGCAACCATTTTTCTTTTCAAGCTGTTACCCCCCAGGAATGCTAGATTGTAATTGGGGAAGTTGACTGGGAGTAACAGGAACTGAAGTCCCAAATATTTGAAAGGGTGACAGGGAAGTTTGTTTTAAAAGCAGACATATGGAGAGAGATTGTGTCTATGGGGGCTCTGAGCAGCTCTCTTCACTGCTCAAAGCATTAATTCCTAAATCATCTGGTAAGAGAAAAACAGCTAGTGCATCTGCAAAATGCATAATCATACTGCAAAATTCTGTGCTCCAAAAAGTGACAAGTTGCTCCTGATGATTTGGTATTCTGCTGATGAACTGCTGAGGGAGAACCGCGTGTTCTAGTTTTGGCAGGACCACTATTATTAAGAATCCTGATCTGAGAATAATGTCCATCTTCTGATTCTTTAATTGGGATCGACCATTTCCATTTCTCCCTTTCCTGAGAAGTGCTGCCCTGCCTTAATTTTAAATGAGATGTGATTGGATTGTTATTTGGCTTCCAGAAATGAAATGAATAATCTTTATTTCTACTTCAAGATACTGTCCAGTATCTCACTTGAAGAAGTTTTTAGAGGTTCAGGCAAAACTTGCTGAAATAGGCCTGAATTGTGTCGATATAGATTGAAGAGAGAGAGAGATGAAAGGCAGGATGAAAACTACACCTAAGCAATGGGTGAGTGAAGGTGAGAGGCATCTGATTTAGTGTTACTTCCATATGCCTTGAGGAGAGAAATGGCATCCATTCATTGATGGGCATTGACAGGAACTTCAATAGGACATGCATTGTCTCCTTTCAATCACCATCCTACCTTTCTACAATTGATGGACGCTCATCTTCATTTTGCTGCTCCTCAATAGAAAGATGGAATTGTGCTTACAAACTCTAAATGAAAATATGTTCAGGTGCAACCTCAGTTACATTCCATTCTGAAGAAACTGAAATTCAGATCAAGTTTACAAAAGTGTCAAAATGCTATTAAGAAAGGAGAATATTTGCAGCTCAGGGTTGAAGTGAGGGGTCTTTGAGGCTCTTTGAGCTTGTTTTTTTTTTTTTGCTTTAATTTATATGTCGCCCTTCTCCAGAGACTCAGGGTGGTTTACAATGCGTTCTTTGAAGAAGAATAGCATTTATAAGAGAGGTCTTTGTTGCTCCTAGAGCTTGGTTGCTTTCTTGAACACATTTCATTACCCAAACTAGGTAATATCACCAGTGCACTTATGACATTACCTAGTTTGGGCAATGAAATGTCTGCAAGAAAACAACCAAGCTCAAGGAGCAACAAAGACCTCTCTTATAAATGCTATTCTTTGGCACCTAGAAATATGAAGGCTCAGGGGAAAAAAAAATTAGGAAGGAAATTAAAATGTTTTCCCACCACAATGGAAGAACTGTGAAATTAAGAATTATGAACTATTTTAGAATATCTTCTTTTTAAAAATGATACCATGAAAAGTCAGGATATGAAATAAATTCGTCCATGTTTAGTAGTAAAAGTAAAAAAAAAGATAAAGGAATCCCTGTGGAGTACACTCTGCTAGTGATTGCCAAATATAGGGGAGGTGCTTATCTCCATTTCAAGGGCTATTGAACAGGGGTGGGATCCTACTGGTTTAACAACTGGTTCGCTAAGGGCGCGCTTTGCGTACGCTGTACATGCATGCATACTTTGGAGAAAACTCACCTTCCGCATTGCTGCTGGTAAGGAAAACAGCTGAGGTGCAGCAATCCACTCTGCCACGCTGATCATCTGAGCTTCGGAAATGAAAATATAGGTGAATATAACACAGGGGCAGGCAGGCAGGCCCACTTCAAAATCGGAACAAACTGGTTCGCTCACGGCTGAAAGTCAGAGTCAACGGTTCGCCTGAACCGGTCTGAACTGGTAGAATCCCACCACTGCTATTGAGCCAGTGCTATCTGAAGACATTTCTGTGTTCATGCAGCCAGCTTGACCTCACAGAGCACTGTTACCTTCCCACCAAAGTGGTACCTATTTATCCACTCGCATTTGCATGCTTTTGAACTGCTAAATTGGCAGGAGCTGGAGCAAGGACAGGAGCTCATCCCATCATGTGGACTTGGGTCTCGAAGCTGGACTGCCAGTTTTCCAGCTGACAAGCCCAATACCTTAACCACTGAGCCACTGTGTCACAACATGTTTGGTAATACTGAACACAAAATTGAAAAATAAATTAAAATAGGAAAGAATAGAAATATCCCTGAAATGCTAAAATAATACAAATGAAAGGTCAAAATTGCCAATAGCCTTAATATTTCAGATTTAGAAAATTAGAGTGAATAAGTGATTCATAGGATCAAATTTTTCTTACCTTTTTGCATGGGAGGGAACAGGAAGCTCTGGGATTGCTGCTGAAATTTCACAGGATAAAACAGAGTGTGGAGAGTCCATTTTCAGGCTGTGGCTGACCAGCCCCCATTAAAATGGATTAATCAATAGCAACACATCTTAAATCTTACAAACCACAATGTTATTACCATTAATTGAAAAATGAATGTATCCCTTATTTATTTGGCAATAAACAAAAAGCAGTCCCCTCACAAATTAAAGCACAGCTAAAATTATAACACAACTAACCAAGAAGCAATAAAAATAGATGGTGACATCTATAAAGCAAAACCCCTTTTAAATTAGTTTGATTTTATTGATTTTCTGAAGCTTAACTTAGAAAGCAAGAGCCGATTATCCTGCCTGGACAGGGCATAGCAGAACATTGCTGCCCTCACAGAGTAACAATGATTGTTGGGCCTCCTAATCTCATGGAAACTAACATATTTGGCCTCCAGGTAGGTCAAAGTTGAGTGAAACAAACTCCTAGGGTATTTTTAATGCTTTTGGGTACAACGTTTTTGTGCACATGTTCTTTTGGAGATCTGTAGGAAAATTCTAAAAAGTACTTATATCTAAGATTGAGTGTCCTCTTCTATTTACCGTGAATCTTTCCCCATACCTATAAGTATATGACTGTTGAGAGGTTACTCCTAAATCTCCTCCCTGATTATAAAGATAAGATATTTTTTTTCTGCCTAGCTGTTGAGCCATTCTACTGCTCCATGGTTATATGTCCATTGTGGAAGACCTTAGGAACTGTTCCTATGTGGTTTAGAGACTAAAAGACAATTGAGCTGAGCTGATGTCATGACTTATCTATGATATTCCCAGTCTGATTGATGTTTCCCTCCTAAATTGAATGCTAACCCATTGATGCAGAAACAATTGACAGGTTGTCTACAATTATCTCAGAAAATTAATCTTCTCCGGTTGTAATGAATAGCTCAGACAGATCTAAATTGCAAACAAACAACTTTTGAGCTTGGGTTCAGTCTCAGTTACCAAAATAGATTCCAAGGACATGATAAATTTTGTTGTTTGTCGTTTATATTTTCTCTTTCACACAAACAGCTCAGTCATATACAAATTGACTTTTTAGTAATAAACTCACTGAGGCTGGATTCAGATAGTTCTTGGGCCCCTAGGCTGGCCCATGTGACACCACTGTTGTGTGTGGTGTGGTTGCCAATTTGCTTCCAAGTCCAATTCAGAATGTTGGTTATTACCTTGAAAACCCTTTATGGCATAGGTCCAGGTTACTTGAGGAATTGTCTCACCCTAATGGGATTGGCCCGCCCCACTCTTGTTGGCAGAGGGGGCATGCTGCAGATCCCATTGGTCAAGGAATTCTAGTTTGCAAAATTCAGGAAAAAAAATTCTGCTGTGGCTCCTGCCCTCTGGAACATTGTCCCCCTCAAGTTGAGATCTGCACCCCTTCTCCTGGACCTTCTTAAAACCTGGCTCTGCCAATTGGTCTGGAGCCCTGATGGGAACATTTCACACTGGATGTGCTTAATGGACTGAGAGAAGATTCTACCTCCACCCCATTTGTATCTTATTCCTTTCCTTAGCCACTTTTTAAATTTTCAGTGTTAACATTTATTATAATATTTGAACAATACAAAACATACTGTTGCTTTTACTTTATTTTAAGCTGCTGCTAGCTGAGATGGGTGGCATATAAATTTAATAAATAAATAAATAAATTCATGCAACATATGAATTGTTGAATCCTTGGTGCTCTCTGAGCTGGTTGTTTGCTTGTAGACATTTCATTATTCAACCAGGTAACATCATATGAAGTGCTCATATGTATCATAAACTAGCCGGCCACATTTTAGAGTAGCACCTTGTGCAAAGTTAACTTGTGAGATTAATGTGTTGTGTGAAGTTATAAACATGCTTAAGTATGTTGTACAAATAAAGCTAAATATGCCCAAGGGAAATGAAACGGCAGAGAACCTGCTGCTTAATCTTACATCATGCTGGTTTTAATCAGAGATGGAAAAGGCACCCTTGATAGGTTTTAAGCCCACCCGGTGTTTATGATTTGAAATTTCTTTCTTTTAAAATCAGTGCAATCAGTGCAAGAATTAGTTGCACGCTGATGTGGCTAAAACATCTGATCCTGGAACTTCTTGGTGGAATAAAGAAGCTTTCCTCATTCAACCTAGAAATAAGGAGAAATTTTCTGACAGTGAGAACAATCAACCAATGGAACAGCTTGCCTTCAAAGTTGTGTGAGCTTCATCACTGGAAGCTTTCAAGAAGGGACTGGACTGCCATCTGTCAGAAATGGTGTAGGGTCTCCTTCTTGGGCTGGGGGGTTGGACTAGATGACCTACAAGGTCCCTTTCAACTTTGTTATTCTACATTTTGTACAAATGTAAACTTACATTTATGCCTGTTTGTCTATGCAACTTGCCAGGACACACCATTTCTGTGCTAACTTGCTCTGGTTATGAAAGAATAGCTTTACCTGATCTTTATCCTTTCTAGCTAGCAGATTTTAAAGTTAAGGTGGTAGATCTGATTGCATTCAGTAGAATTTATAAGAATAGGGATTTTTTAATAGCCTAAATTGAAAATCATGGCCTATATAAGAAAATGCAGTATAAAGATCCAAACTATTAAGCTCATTTTTGGGGTTTGTGTCCCATTTTTATGTATTTATATATTTCTTTTACTTAGGATATTTAGAGCACATTGCAAAAAATAGAAACTATGTCAGAACTGGGATTTGCATGTAGAAGTTCATAGATTTGGATTAAACCTCCAAAAAGCTAAATAAAAATCAGTGTTCATCAGATGAAAATGCTTTTTCGTTCTGATTTTCATAATGTAATTCAGTAATGCAAATAATCAAAGAGCCCAAGGCTAAATGAAGGAATCTTCCCTCATGTTCTGCTTTGTTCTGGCTTCATGCTTCAATATTCTTTTCAAAAGTCAACCAACATTTTAACCTGTTTTGGGAAATTGCCAATATTTTAAAGATGTCATCTTACAAGCCGACACCTGACAGATGAGTCTCTTAACAGAACAATTGACCAGAGAGTCAATTAAATGTATGAAGCTTTAAAAGGCTTCATGTGGCCTTTGGAAAATCTCAGGTCCTTTAGAAGTGGTAACAGTTATCCATACTGAAAGCGGCCATTAAAAAGTGTTAACTTTAAGCCTGGTAGCCACATATTTTACAGAGCATTCCTTTGATATCCATGATCCAATTATCTCTGTTCAGCAAAGCAGATCCTACTACACTCACCAATTGTTCACCCAATTAGAAGCAGGCTCTTATAGACATAACACTGTGCTTGCATTCACATGACATACTGATCCATAAATGAACCTACCGCATTTTTGCCTAGCATGTTGTACAAACCCCAGTTTAGGTAATTAGTTTATGCTTCAGCATCTCAGGCGGTACTAGAATGTTGGGTTAAGTGAGTAAATGGTGACTTTGTTAAGCAGGAAGAAGTTTGTCTAGTGAACCCAACCAATAAACCCATTCTTCTTTTGATTAAGGAATTATTTGTAGGCCCTTTTCCTATAATGTTGACTAGCTCAGTCCTCTGAACCTGAACAGCATGGCTACTAGATGGCACATTGGCACATCCCTTTCGATCTTCAATCGTTACAAGACGTTTGTGAAAATGTGGTTAATTCTTCCTTGAGAGATTCACTGGCAGCATAGCTATCAATGCACAGAAGCAAGACAAGTTCGCTACAAGGTGATGATGTGCAGTTTAAGGTGGATTCCAGGGAGGGTGTCACAATTTCCCCCTCATTCAAGCCAACAGTTTTCTGTGTGGAAGGTAAAAATTGAGCTTGGTTTGTCTGTCTTTTAGTTCTGAAACTTGGAATCCATACAGTAAATTTTCTGACTAAAATCCCTTCCTCCCCCATTCTATTTTGATTGTTTTTAAATCTTGTCAGTTATTGGTCCTTTCTCCTCCCTTTTATGTAAATCAGTTTGTGGGCATGTTAGAACAATGAGAGAGCAATAATTTAAATAAATCATACATTTACATTACCTGTATGGCAGATACCTGATATTACTGCCAAAATAATTGCCTTTGCCATCAGCTTTAAGAGAAGATTTCCTGATTTTTAAAAATGTACTTAATGATTTGAAAAGTACACTGTTTATACATGGTTAGGTGCAGTTTTAAGAGATTTTGTTTTTAAAACCAAACATCTTATGTAACGTTTTATCGGGACAGAATGCTATTGCAAGGATTAGCCTACTAATCAAGCATACAACACAAAATAAACATTACTAGATAGATAAATAAATACATAGAATTAAATATATTTATTTATTTATTTATTTATTTATTTATTAAATTTTTATAATTTTTATATAAAAATATGATATCACACTATTCTATCTATCAACTATCTAAATTTTCTATCCTCAAAATAAGCATGGATTACAGTTCAAAACATTAGGGCCTTTTAAAAAAAAGGAAAAGAAAAAAACTAGCATTCAGTACATAATGTTAATTGCTGTACTCTTAAAAGGATATGTTCTTTTAAAACCTCTGAATAATGAAAACAAGAGTTGATGGCACTGACTGCTGTAACTGCTTCCAGATTATTATTTTTTTAAAAAAGAAGCAAGGTTAATATGTTTCAATCAATAATAAGTACATAGATATAACTACCTGATTCATGATGCAGGGAGAAAGTGAGATTCCAAGATCAGATTTGGGTTTTAAACGTGTCCGGCAGAAGAAATCAGGAATCTAGGCAATTCAAATAAATATATAAATTTATTCTATGCTAATGTTCTCTACAAGAAACTGAACTAATGGTCAAAGCAAATTGGTGATAGATAAGCGTCAATAGAATTCAAGATAGGCTGGCCTTAGATCTCTTGTGGACATGAAGGGATTCAAGACTGATGACACATTTGACTCCTCCCTGAGGCTAACCCTAGTCATTTCCTACAAAAATGCTCATGCAGCTTTCGAAAAGGAATGGTGTGAATACAAATGAGGAATACAATATAATTAAGGAGGAGAAAATTCAATGGGTACCTGATTATATTCAAATGTCTTATAGGGCCCAATAGTTAGGATGATGAAACTCATATTTTAAGTTTCAGATTCAAAAACTATGTTTAGAGTAGACACATGCATACAATCATACATATAATCATACATACATGGGGATTTCAACTTTCCTCACATCACTGAATCCAGATTTCTCTTGCTGAGGTCCTGAGAGAAGCTGTGATGTGTGTGTGTGTGTGTGTGTGTGTGTGTGTGTGTGTGTGTGTGTGTGCATGTGTGCAGAAAGAGCAAATCTAAGCATGTTTTTAAATCATTTGCTTAATACTAAAGTCCAATAACCTGACAAATATTCTTTTCTGAAAAAGAGAGAAAATAAATCTGGATGGGAGGGAAAAGGAATGTTCTGGCAGACACATGTTTGAACATCTTGTGTGTTACATAATCTGCTGTAAATGGCATTTTGTTTCTGGCAGGGAAAAGGAGGAAACTTGCCGGAAGATTTTATTGCATTTAAATTAGAGTTCATGATCCTGATTAGTTTTTGCTTAAAAGACTTTAAGCTTTGGGGGAGGGGAATTCATTTCCTGAAGGTTGTGGTGGGGTGCCTGATATGATGCATGAACCTAGAACATGTGTGTCCAACCTTTTGTGGGCTACATTGTGCAGGCCACAGGTTGGACATGCCAGGTCTAGAATAATAGCTCATTCCTCTTTTAATTCCATCTGCTTGGTGAGGAAAGTAGCAGGTTTGAGCTCCCTTGTAAATGCTGTCCTGCTACATTGGGCCACAATAGCTGGAATTTCCTGCTAATGAGTCATTCAGGGCATTGTGGTCCAACATTGGTTAATTATACAGCAGATGTTTTCAAGTGAGGCAAGAGAGTATTGAGCCCCCTATTGAAGTGTCATTGACTTTAAGGAGGGACCCTCCCTAGTTTCCCAGAGCATAAAAGGAAAGAAGGGGAGAATTAGTTTTAGTCTTGTAAAATCCTATTAATATAACCATACATTAAGTTAATACTTATAGTTGTGCTTGTTGTCCTGAGTACCTCAAAAGGCTAGTGCAGGGGTGTCAAACTTGCGACCCGTGGTCTGGATTCATCACGCGCCGGTCACACCCACACCCGGTTTAGCAAAGGGGGAAAAAGTAGTGATATATCATGTGATGCGGCCATGATGATGGGTTTGACCCCCTGGGCTAATGGATTGTGAGTTTGGAAAACTCTTTTCCAAACATTTCAGCCCAAAATGCTCATATGGAACCTTTTGTCTTGCTTTCCTTTATGGAGGGTTTCATATTAAAGCACAGCTAATTGCTAAATAAGAGCCAGTTTGGTGCATAGGTCAAAGACAAAATCCTAGAAACTAAAAGACCATGAGTCCTAGTCTTGTTTTAGGCATGAAGTCAACTGGGTAACCCTGGACCAATTACTGTTTGTCAACCCTAGAAAGAAAGCAATTGTAATCCACTTTTGAAATCTTACCAAGAAAACCTCAGAGACTTATCCAGGCAATCACCAATAGTCAACACTGATTCAAAGGCACATGCACACACACATGCACACACACACACACACACTTCTAAATATGATTACTTATCTAAATCAGTCTTTATAATCCACTGGAAATTTAAAGATGTATTGATACCAATGAATATTTTCAAGTCAAAATAATTTGCTAAGAGTGTACTTTCTAGTCTCTGTCTTGAATGCATTTTCTATGCTAGAGCATTTGTTATCTGGGGTTCCTGTCTATCATTGAGAATGAGGAAATGAATGAAAAGGGAACTACATTGTCTAGTCAACTTGTGGTGCACTTCATATTCAGTGTTTGTATCAATTGTCGGAAGAAATACCTATCTGGTTCAGTTCCAAGTGGGGAGAAAGACACTGGAAACATGGAGGCTGATTGGAAAGATGGTTTAATGGAGCAGAACCACCAAGCACATGTGATTCTGGGTAGCTGACCACATGGAGTGGAGAGTGAGGGTTATTTATACCGTCTCTTGGGCCTTGCCTTTGAGCTTCCTGTTCCTGTGGCAAGAACATGTATTCTATTGGCTGTAGTCAGACTTCCATGAGGCCATGTGGAGTCATGTTTGCCTGAATCAAGTTTGGTTGAACCTTGGGCTGATGCAATGTCCCTCAGGTGATTTTGTAATGCAGTGAGCCCTGCTGCTAGGTAATCCTATTATGTCCTGGAGGGTCATGTCTTAATCCCATCACCCTGGGACGTCTTTTATTTTGTAGATAGGCTGGCCCGGTCCTTCTCAATGGGCATCAAATAACTGCTGGGGGCAGGGACCTGAAGCTCTGAATTTCTGTTTCCCTTAAGATTTCTATTTCTCTTTTAGGGGAAATATAATATGCTATCTTTTTAATATTTCATAATATATTTCATTCTTCTAGGAGAGGTGTGGGTGCTGATTTTCTACACAATGAATGAGAAATGCATTTACCACTGAAATATGTACACACACACCCCACATATTTTAGAGAATCAATGTCATCTAGTGATCAAGATGCAGGAAGACCCGGGTTCTAGTTTCCCTTAAGCCTGGAAGCCAATTAGAGACCTTGGACCAGTCTCTCTCTCAGCCTAATCCACTTCCAATTCTATAGCCAGCTGGCTGAAAAACAAAATCCTTCATCAGCTCATGCACAAAGTGAGATGCTGTAAGAACTAGTGAGCACAATGCAAACAGAAGCAGATTTTGCAGTCGCACAGGACAAAAGTTAAGAAATACAACAACTGCTCCTCATACTCCTGGAACCAGAATAATTCCAAGAAGATCAGGACAAAGATGGTGGCTCCCCATGGTGGATGTTCCCACAGGTATTCTTCTTTTTGTTTGTATCCTCTTAATTCCAAAGCATTGTCCTACCCAAAACAACACCTGTTTGGCAACTATTCAGAATCCTCAACTCTCTCCTGCCTGGATTCCAGCTTTCTCCGCTGGCTAATCTGAGTGCAAAACGATTAATCACGGGTACTTTAAAAAAAAAAAACCTTCACTGGAAAACCAAAGAAAACATCACTTAGTTAAATAATATTTTAAAGAGGAAGTAAATCGTTTTGTTAATAGAGTCATTTCCAGGCCTTAGTTAAAATAAGTAGATAGCCTACTGGAGATAAATAACAGGCATTTATTTGCACATAATTAGTATACAAACAGAGTGCTTGCACTTAGTTGTGTACTGCAAACAAAGCCATAAAGCAAGGGGACTTTTCTTGCCATGAACCAGAAATAATCTTCTTCCTTGTCACCTCCTGGCAGAGGCAGAGGGAAGAGATTCTTTACCGTTTTCATGCAGTTTTCATTCAGAATATGGGAAATGCAGTTTCTAATTATATTGTGAAGAGGCCAAAATTAAGTGCTGACATTGTACGAAGCTTCTGTTTCTCCCTTCTTTGCCTCTACGCATCTTGTACTCCCTCGATGTAATCACCGAAGTTTGTGATTGCAATGAAATAGATAGAATGCCTGTCTCTTATTGCTCTGGGGTTCATTCTCACTGAAAGATTTCATCTCATTTTGCCCTCCTTGTGTCTCCAAAGGCATAGTAGCTCTTTATGAATCCATTTTTTTTCCCTAAAGAAGAAAATTGTAGTCCTTTGTAAAGGTGACCCTCATTATCTTCCTGACCTCTTGCACATCATCTAGCATGGAGCGTTTGCTTGTGGCAACAAAAAATAGTGACAATATTTGCAGGCACAATGCAAAAGACTTGCACACAGCCTCTCTTGCTGCATAAGATATGTCTTTGCTCTAGTCGGATGAATATTTACCACAAATAAGATGCCTCATCCAATTGCAAAGGACTATTTATTTTCTTCTTAGGCTGACAAAGTAGTTGACTTCTGCTGAAGGCTCACTATATTTATCTATTCCTGCTAAATGGAATGGGGGTGTTTATGTATTTTATTATCTATAAACTTCCATTTTATACCACTGTCTCCCTTGGCTTGAAAACCTAGCAGATGTTTTGAAGTTCTAACAATCTGGGATCTCCTCTGCCTGAGGCCTGAACTGTCATATTAAACTGGTTGGGCCTTAGGATTTTTCCTCAGAAGCCCAGTGAATGTGAACGATTAAGTGCAAATAAGAGAGAGAGAAAGAGTAGGAGAGAGAGTGACACTGATTGAGTGTCTATTTTCTTGGTGATACTGCCCAGGCAACTATACATCTTTCTTTCTCAGAGTCAAAAGATTCCCTTTTGCTAGCCTTCTGGTGGAAATAGAAAATGTTTCCATACAGACCTTTAGTTTTGTTGCTGTTTTTCATAACTGATGCTTGTCACAATGATATGCTTCCACTTGTAGTTCTGCTTTTATGTATAAAGTATAGGGTGTTTTTTTTAGGTGCTGCAAAGGTGCTTACTGATTGGGAAAGCAAGGTATGGATATTATGTGGTAATCTGATTAAAGTATACTGTACATGGAGTGGTAAGGAAGCTTATAGGACAGAAGCTAAAGCTGTTCTGGTTTCTATATTCCACTGCAACCTTGACAGCTACACTGAATGTAGGATAAAATATAAGGATCATTGCTAAGGTTGGGTTTGAGTCATGGCTGTCCAATTCATGATGCCTTCAATTTCAAGGTATAGAATATCCATGAGGTGCTAAGCAAATCCATCCAGGTTCTTCTATTATCATTTCAAATATTTGCTTACACTGTTTCCCCCAAAATAAGACATCCCCTGATAATAAGCCCAACCAGGCTTTTGAGCGCATGGCAATAAGGCCAAGCGCTTATTTCAGGGTTCAAAAAAATATAAGACAGGTTCTTATTTTCGGGAAAACACGGTAGTCCTACATTTACTTTAAGAATGATTTTATTATCTGTATTTTTTGAATGCATCACTGCTTTCATTTGCTTCAGGCTACCTATTTGTCCTGCTTCCCTGCTTGTTTTTCTTTAATTCATGTGTGCATATTGATAGAACCCTGTATAACATAAATTGTGATATAATTGCACCAAAGGATTGTATCAAGATTCTTCTTTCTATGGAGTGTGCTTTAGACTTGGAATGCACCAGTATTGAAAATTCAGAATACTTAGATGTAGTAAAGAGAGTGTTTGAATGCATTTCATTTATTTAAACAATCTTAAGTTGCTCAAGATCATGCAAAACTGAAAAATTATAAAGCATAATGAACAGAACAGAACAACAGCCCTTCTGAATTCAGTTCAGTGGCCCAGCTATAACATTCCTTATCAGGAACCTGACACACAAGGCTAGGAAGCTCTGATGCAAGGCCTTCTCCTTATGATTCCTAGCAGGTGGGAGTCTGTTGTCTGTAATTCAGGAGGCAGCAGATTACCAGCAATTTATAGCTTAGTTCTCAATGAATGTATTTGTCTCCTTTTAAAACCATCTAAATAGATGGTTATGATCACAACTCAATTCTGCATTATATAAAGAATTTGTGTGTCATGGCCAACTTTGACTTAGAGTAGTACGATGGGGAATCTGAGAGAATCAGTTAGACCTCAGCCTGAAAAAGCTACAAGCATTCAAATATCTGAGGATGATCCACCTGTAATCACCTTGAACAACTGTGCTCTGTCTATAAAAATGAGGAACCAGAGCTGGAAAGACCTTCCAACCCTGATACATGCCATAGAAAGCAGAATCATGAAATTTGGCATGTCTCCTTCATTGGTGTGAACCCCGTCAATCAGGGAATTCTGATAGGCAAGTCTAGGAGACGAGCATTTTCTACCATGGCTCTGGCCCTTTGGAACAGCTTGCCCTCTGAGGTGAGATTGGTTCCCACCAGAGGTGGGTTCTACTTACCTTTACTACCAATTTGCAGCGGGGCCGCACACGTGCTCTTCTGCGCATGCGCAGAAGCATTTTGATGATGTCGGGGTCAGTGGGTGGAGCCTCCTGACAGTTTTACTACCGGTTCTATAGAACCAGTCTGAACCGGAGGCAACCCACCACTGGTTGCCACCCTCCTGACCTTCCACAAGAGCCAAGACCTGGCTCTGCCTGTCGGCCTGTAGTCCCAATGGCGGAGTATCACACTGGAGGAGGTTGATGGACCAATAGAAGATCTCCCCTCCCCTGTGCATTATTTTTGTTTTCAATGTTGTAAGCTGCTCAAAGTCACCTTGCAGTGAGATACATGGCAAACAAATTTAATAAATAATAATAATAGCTGGATTCATTGACATGGGCTCTATTTAAAAACCACTATTAACCCGGTTTCCCTTATTGAGAACAATTGATCAGAACTCTGTTTTTCCTACTAAATTTGTTGCCTGTGGAAGCTCTGTTCCTTTGAATGTGAACCAGCTGACAACTGACCCACATAATGGTTCTGAAGAAGGATAACTCGAGCCTGTTTATTTATGCCTCAAGTAGGAATCTGCATTGATTTGTTCAATGATCCATTTATTTGTTTTCTTGGCTGTCCATGGTGTTTTCAGGAGTCTTTCCCAACAGCAACGGTCAAAATAATCAATAGCCTCCCTACCCTGGTTCTTCAATGTTCAACTTTAATTGCCATAGAGTGTCACAAGGAATATCATGGCTTGCACAGTTCTCATCTTTGTGGAGAACAGCACAGCATCTGCATATCTTTTTCAAAGCTTGATGGCTGCTCTACCACATGCTAATCTGTGGTATATTCCTTCACTGTTTCATTCTTTACTGTTGAAGGTTAATTTCATAGAAAAATGCTTCAATATATTCATTGTAAATTCTGGTTGGTTTTACCTATTGTTGTTTGTTTGGCCTTCTTTATATATAATTTTAGTTCCTTTCTTCCCCCATTGTGCTCCCTAATGTCTTGATTCAGTGTCTGAAAACTGTATGGGTCTGGATAAAATAGAAAAGACCCAGACTGTTGTAATTGGTAGAGAAGCCTTCAGGGCTTAGAAATCAGGAAGGCATTATCTTGTAGAAAATTGACACAATCATTTATAGGTGGTTCATTTTATTTATTTATTACAGTTGTGTGGTGTCCATTTTGTCTAAAAGTGATTTTCAGTCTCTCCTACTCTTCTGTTGCTTATATTTCATTGAAGAAATACTGGTTTTCTTCTGCTAAATCATTTCTGTAAATGTTTTTTCCCCCTCAAGTATTTATTCAATAACGCTGCTCCCAAAACACTCAGAGCCCAACATAATTCTTTATTGTGTTTAGGAAAATAAATATGTAAAATTGGGTTTGGGTAAATGTTTATTTTAAAAACCATTTTGCTGTTGTTCTTAAGGTAACTAACTCCATGGACTCTAGTTTTTGTCCTGATTATGGTGGAAAGAATGTGTGACAAGAGGACTTGATTTTTTTCCCCCCATAGATTTTTAATCTTTGAATGGCACCCAGAGTCACTGTTGTGAAATGGGCAACCATATAAATCATTTAAATAACTAAAATAAATAGATAAAATAAATAAATAAAATCACATCATTGGAAGCATTTTTCATCAGGCTACCAATATCAGACCTAGAATTTAGTCTGAAATTCAGGACTGTAGTCGGAACTTGTCTACTGATCAGTTATCAATGTTTTGCAGATTGGGAATTAATATGTGATAGAGACAGGCATAGATAGGCATGTGATAGAGAGGGCTGCAGTGGCTCAGTGGCTAAGATGCTGAGCTTGTCAATCAGGAGGTCAGCAGTTCAGCAATTCGAATCCCTAGCGCTGCGTAACCGAGTGAGCTCCAGTTACTTGTCCCAGCTTCTGCCAACCTAGCAGTTCAAAAGCACGTAAAAAAAATGCAAGTAGAAAAATAGGGAACACCTTTGATGGGAAGGTAATAGTGTTCCATGTGACTTTGGTGTTTAGTCATACTGGCCACATGACCACGGAGACGTCGTGGGACAGTGCTGGCTCCTCAGCTTAGAAATGGAGATCAGCACCACCCCTATAGCCGGAAATGACTAGCACGCATGTGTGGGGGAACCTTTACCTTTAACTTAGAGAGAGGCAATGTTTGGATCCGATCCAATGTATTTTTTTTTTTACTTTATCCTAGTCCACATTTTCTATTTTTCCACAAAATCATTTGGAGAAGTTGAAAGACCAGGTAAAAGTTCTATAAAAATGAGCTATCACCGAGGATGCACCTTTGATAGAAAGGAAACCTTCTGCCTCTATTTTGTTGTGATCTCTTTGTTGCCTGTCTAGTTTGCCAAAGGTTTTACCACTTTGACATAGGACATTTCCTATGGCTTAAGAACTGGAGAATAATGATAGCCTTAGGTGCAGCCTCAGGCTAGAGAATTTTTCTGTCCTGGAAGTGCTCCATGTTGCTATGTCTGCTATTTAATTAGACCTCAAAGCTGCCTTGATAGCTGCAGGACAAGTCTTAGTCCACAGAATGAATCACATATTGCAATATCTGATTGTGGTTTGGTAACATCTGGAATTAAACAAACAAACAAATCCCCTATGTATATATTTTTTTCAAATGGACTGTAAGGATTAGCTATAAAGAATGCAAAACAACAACATTTCTGCTTTAGGTCAATTCACTATGCACTTGCATAATGTGATTTCTCACCATGGAGTTATTTTGCACCACATTGGACGGCAAACAATTACCGTAATATATAAACAAACTTTACAAAAAAACCCCAACCTTTGAATATGAAGATGTTGGTCTACTATAGAGATTGAATTGCTACAGCTGAATTGTAGCAGATTCATGACAACACAAATTATTGATTCTGCCCTTCAGAATATAAAATGATGAAATGTGAGTTTATTTCATTATAAAGCCACATGCTCAAATCTAATGGCTGTGTCAAAGTTTATTTACCCTAAACGTAACTGATTTGTTAGAGGTATTTCCATGGATTGAAATAGATGGGTGCACAGGATTGGTTTTACATGGAAAAGAAGCAACCATGTCTATCTGTGAGTTCTCCAAATGTCAGCTAAAGCTGTGATTCATCTTGAGATCTAGAGAGTTTTAGAAATACGCCCAATAGGCTGAAGATTAATATATTGTTGGTATCATATTTTAAGTTTTTATTGGTTTGCTTGCAAAAGCAAAAGTTCTGAAATCATATTGTTTCAACATAGATTCCCTTGTTGAGAATAAACTATTATAATTGCTTTTTCCTCCCATCTGCTTGCTCTGTGTTTTAATCTGATATTCATTCAAATATCTATAATCACAATAATAACTGCAAAGTCCAATATTGTCAGAAGCAGGGGTCTAATTTTGTCATTTGTTGATATTAAAGACAGTTCCATGGTGACCACTTTTGTGACCTGTGTCAGAATATTCATGAACTGGCAGAGACATGGTAACAAGGTCAGCCAATGAATAGGCATGGCAACAGCCAATGAGAGCTGTTTAGGAACTGAGACAGACTGGAGCCAGGGCGTGTCTTAGTCTGTAGCTTCTGAGTCTGTGCAGAGAAACTGAAACTAGTCTGCTCTGCTGAAATGAAACTAACTGTTCTCTCCTGCCTTGTGTTCTGCCTGTAACTTTTATCACATTGGAAGAATCAACTATTGGTATTGTAAAATTTACTTCATCTGTTATTGTGTATATAAAGAAGTTTATGAATCCTGCTGAATCAGTTTACCTTTGTGTGCTTTCTGGATTTAATTTCTGCAACAAACTCTGATAACCTGTGTCCTAGCAGAAGATTATTTTAAAACCTGGCTAGAGATTCATCAGGAGGAATCCAGGGACAGTTCTGGAATATCTATTTTTGTGTTAGTCAATGGGCTTTATTTCTTTGAGATTCTTGGCTATTCCTCCTATTACACTTCTAGAGATAGTAAAGTAACCAATATTTCAGGAGAGGTTTGTTGTTACAGTTGTATAATATACTCTCCTCTCCCTCCACAAAAAAAGTTGTTTTCTTACAAATATTGCTATGGAAACTTGTACTTAAAATTTGAATACTGTTAACTTTCTCAATATGATGAGAAATTCTTGCATGCTCCTGGCAATGTCTTCCCACTGTAAGTACTCTACTGCTAATAGCCTGTTTTATGACCTTGATATGCCAGACAACAAATAGTTCTCAGGAGATGTTTAGGTGTGGGGATAATGATAGTAGGAATATTATTTACAACAAAAAACTATGTCAAGTGGAACTTGAAAGCTAACTTTTTCCATGCAGCCTTGCCTACTAACTCACTGGTTTTTGACCTTCAAAAATGCATTTTACCCTTTTTAAATTGTGAAGAACCTCAGGATATTGCTCTCTTTTTCTCTGTTCATTGCATGATCTTTAAAACAAGAAATTTATCACTTCTGAATATAGTAATGGCTTAGACAAGGTCAATAACACGAAGCTGAATCCCAACTAAATGTAAGAACTCTAGTCTGACTGGTTGTTGTTTTTTTAAATCTTAAAAAGCTGATATATAACCTTTTCTGGGTGAGGCTTCATATCTTCAGCAGATGTAGGTACAATGTGGAAATGAGGTAAAACTGAGACCAAACACTGTCTACCTCAAAATATATCTATTGAGTCAGAGCAAATTCCACTAGGCTTTTTTCCGCAGTTCATGAACTGGTGCTATAGCCATATTTCTTTCTTTAGAAATTAGATGAAGTGTCTTCTCATCTATCATAACACAGTACATGTTCTAATAAGAGCCAGATTTAAATATGATAATTTATTTTATATAATGCTGCCTTTGAAAACAGTTCCTCCCAAAATAGGTCGTCGGCCCACCTACTTTGGAGATAAGTTCTCAAGATGGTATGCCCAGCCCTTCAATCCTAGCAAAGTTGGGCACTTCTAACCTAGGTTATCAAATATCTGATTAGGAAATTGTTATGTATCAGTAGTTTCTGAGTGTATGTTATCCCAGTATGAACTGGTATTATTACTGTTATGTAGATAACAGCGTTCTTTTTTTAAAAAAATTGGCAAAACCCTAAAATTGCAAATGGAGAAAATTTTGCAGCTAGATGTTCTGTTGAACCAGGCTCACTATGATTTACATGCATAGACTTTAGGTTTTGTTTTTTTAAAAAATAATAATACTATCAGCTGTGAAACTGGTTAAACTTTGTTTATTTTTTGAAGTGTTTTATTACATTTGGCTCTAGAGCCAACAAATCTATGAGAAGTTTACTTCTTTCCCAATAATATAAACACACTTCTCTAATATATTTTCCTTCCTAGTGAAGCCAAAGAATATGTTTGAGTATTCTCAAGAGCACATTTTATCTTGTACTCTTCATACATGCTATGTTAAACAAAATAAATGCAGCTTGATACTTCATAACAATCTTCATCCATTCTTCTTTATAACAAGTATGGTATTTGTATGGAAATACTATAAATCCATAAGAAGTGGAACCTAATAATGCCAATCCTAAAAATACAATATATTAGATCACCGAGTATGTTCATTCAATGAAACAAAACAAGGTGTTATGAAAAAATCATAGTGATTATATTAAAGCTTCTGTAGTATACCTCACTGCTATATCTCTTAGGTCTAAAGCATCAGTTGGCAAGATAACCAGCAGTCTTTTCATTTGAAATTTAATTACATTAGAAAAAAAATCACTATGCAATAAAATGTTGGAATTTCCATATTTTTTTCTGTTTAATATATGCCCTTGCATCATAAACTAATATTGTCATGCTCGTTATATTCCATGTTTACTAAAAAATATCAAGCAAAGGACACATTGGAATCAAGTGTATATTGTTTATGGTTCTGGGAAGCCCTTTCTACTAGCATATTTACATATTGCCTTGAAAACCTACAAAATGTCGTAGTATTATTATCAAACTTCAATAATTTTCTCTGCTTAATTTCTACTATCATTAAACTGGATAAACAATAACATAAAACATGAATAACATGGATGATGATGATGATGATGATGATGATGACGACGACAACGATGACATCCATTTAGTCATGTCTAAGTGATTCCATGGGCCAGGTCTCTCCACATCTTCTGATCTTGCACTACTTCCCTGTGTTGTTCTTATGCTCTGGCTGGTATCATCTTTGATGGTGAAAACTTATTACAGATATACTGTATAAAAGGTAAAGATTCCCCTCGCACATATGTGCTAGTCATTCCCGACTCTAGGGAACTCTGTTTCAAAGCTGAAGAGCCAGTGCTGTCCAAAGACATCTCCATGGTCATGTGGCTGGCGTGACTAAACATCGAAGGCGGCATGTAACACTGTTACCTTCCCACCAAAGGTGGTCCTTATTTTTCTACTTGCATTTTTTACTTTCAAACTGCTAAGGTTGGCAGAAGCTGGGACAAGTAACAGGAGCTCACCCCATTACGTGGCACTAGGGATTCGAACTGCTGAACTGCCGACCTTTCTGATCGACAAGCTCAGCATCTTAGCCACTGAGCCACTGTGTCCCTTTTATATATACTTTTTTATATACTGTATAGATATATACAATATACTGTACATTAAATGCAATATAATATTGTATTTCTGCTAATGGCAAACTTAGAAAAGAATTTCATTTGTACTTGAAGAGAGCTTCCAGGTGTGAAATATGTCCCACTGGAGATTTTATGGTCATTCAGAATAAAGTACAGTGGTGTTGATTACAGTCGGTGCAAACTTTGCTAGTTGTCTACCATTGTCACTGTCCTGGGCTACCAGCAATTTTTGGAAGGCCAGGCTATGAATTTTATGTACTCTGTAGTATTTATGTAATTTGCATAAGCAATTATGTAAATTATGTAACCAGTTTTAGAATTTGTTATAGCTGTTTGACACCTAATGATACTACACAAAATCAGTTTCTTTTTCCTAGGTAGCTAAAAATGTGGTTCTGTAGTGCTCTAGGGAAAGTATGCAAATATTCATTTGCTACAGAGGAATACATGAACAGAGGAATGTTCATGTAATGGCAAATAAATAAGTAAATCAGATTATGCGCATGTGATGTAATAGTTGAATTTTTCACATAACATTTAATACAGACTTTCCCCACTATTTCTGAATGAAAGGAGAGAATGCAACTTGATGAATTTGTGCATATGTGTGTGTTTTAGTGTATTTATATGTATATATAATTTTAACTGAAATTTTTTACCTAGATAAAAGATAGACATGACTACATACCTATATAAAGTTAGAAAGTAGAAAAAAGTATAAAACATAAAGCAGTTAGCAAAAAAGAAGCAACTTCCAACCTTCTTTGCAACAACTATACAATTATTATGCTTCCTCCCTATTTAAAATTACATTACAAAGATCCCTTCTGTCCCATGTTCAATCCTTTGTTCAATTAGCAAACCCAGAAATCCCCATTTCATTTTTTTTTCAGCAAGAAGTCGATAAAAGGTTTTTAATCTTTTATAAAAGTACTTGCTGTTTTGTCCCTGCTCAGACAGATCAGTTTTGCCACTTCTGCTAATTCTGCCATCTTTATAATTCATTTCTCCATTGTGAGTATTTCAGTGTTTCTTTATTGTTATGCATAGAGTAATCTTGCTGCAGTTACCATATATAAAATCAATCTTCCATAAGTTCTTTCTAATCGATTGTCCAAATGCCCCAGTAAAAGAAATTCAGATTTCATCTTAATATTAACATTTAAAATTATTTGATTCCTACATGTTATGTATTGTATATAGTTGTCAGTTGAAGTTCTCAGTCTGGTCCTCTGTTGGTGTGGGAAAATGCTCTCTCCTGATTGGTTGTGGGCTGATCAGCTTCCCTATAAAAGGAGCTGTGTCAGCCAGGGAGCAACAGTTGCCTCACAGGCAGTACTGAATAAAGAGCTGTTAGAAATCACTCTGGCCTCACCTCTATTCTTCACCCAGAACATAACACTACATATTTATATCCAACATTTTTCATAAGTCCACCATGCATGGTAAAATGTCCCTTTGTGTTTTTTTACATTTTCAGTATTGATTAGATGCACTTTTATACATCTTAGATAATTCATCTGGTGTCATATACCAGTAGTATATCATTTGATGCAAATTCTCTCTTAAATTATAACACAATGTAAATTTCAATTCTTTTACCCACATTTCTTCCCATATAGATCCATCTGTATGTTATAGGCAACGTTCTTAGCCCTTTTTCTCGTGCAGGCTTTAACTTGTCCTTCTTCCATTTCAAATCTCTGCAACAGTTAATACATTTTGCAATCATATGTTCATCATTCATGTACAATTCAATTTCAAATTCCATGTTCAATTCCAGTAAACTTTTTTATCTCTATTAAACCGTTCTTTCAACTCTGGCCGGCCTTGACTGATGGGGGTTTTAAAATGGATTTTAATTGATTTTAGGGACTTTATGTGTAACTTTTAACCCGGAGTTTTTGTTTTATTTTTCTGTTTTATTGTTGTGAGCCGCCCTGAGTCCTCCCGGAGAAAGGGCGGCATATAAGTCTAAACAAACAAACAAACAAACAAACAAACAAACATGAAAACATATCCTTCTGCAGTCAATTGTTCTCTTGATTTTGGATTCTCTGGGTTTCATTGCAAGAAGCTGCCTTCCAATGCTCCAGTGGGTAATTTGTGACTTTTTCCT